TTCCTCTTAGCTTGCTCTTTCGCACGATCCTAAAGATTTAAAATAGCGAGATCTTAATTAGCAAATAACTGCTCTTGCGCCTTAGCCTCTAGAAGTTTAAGTTTGCTCTAAGCTAGCTAAGCTTTTAAACGCGTAACTTTAAGACGCTTCTCCTATTTCTTCTACTAAACCTTCTCCTACTCTTCCTTAGAAACAAACAGGCTACACTTAGCCTTTACTAAAATACAACTAGCACAGCGACTTGTTGCGGTATCTACAAAATAGCGAAGGTTCTTCTCTTTGCAGCGCTTACAACAGAAAGCTATCTCTAGACCCTGCTCTTTTACACGGTTAGCACAGGCGCGACGCTTAAGAGTCGAACTCTAGGGGCGAGAACAGCAGGAAGACAGAACCTTAGGCATAGTTAGAAGAAGTAAGAAAAGAAAAGAAGAGAGGTTATAACACTACAGGAACACCTAAACCTCTACCGCCGCCGCTAGACTAGGCGCGGGAAAATAATAATCTAGGGTATTAGGACAATACGCCTAAGAGAGGAGGTAATATTACAAGGTAATAAGGAATTGCTTCTTTATGCGGGTCGCATAAAGGAAGACTATTAGGAAGCTACAACAAAGGCTTAATAATTAAAGGCAGGGCCTAGATTACGTGACTAACATCCCGCTAAGGCTAACTATCTAGAATAGCAGAACTACTTAGGATAGCGGAGCTATCACAAACATCCTATGCACTTAGAATAGATAGGATAGCAGGAATAGATTGCAATAGGTATAAAGGATAAACAGATTTTATTATTACACTTGTTATAGTTAACTTAAATAGTTTATCTCTTACACAGATTATTAACTAGTTATTCTATTATTTATAGAATTAGTATTGTTTATCCTTTTAGTTACAACAATAACTCCTTTCCACCTGATCATTCTATACGATACCTCACGGACTACCGCTTAGTCTACCTCGCCTTAGTACAGACCGAGTTTAGAGAAGTATAGCCTAACCCCGTGTAACATGTGTTGGAAGAATATGCCGACCCATGCTTGTGATCTTGGCTCAGGCGCAGCCATCCATACAGGCTCAAAAGATGAGATGGTGACATTGTATTCATGAGTGTATGTTTCACCAGAATTGTTCAGCTTCTGGATCAACGTGCCAAGCGTCGATATTTTAACAGTTCTGAGCGTGATATCTTCAACGTATTTTACTTCAGTGTCCGATTCAAAGGACTTTTGAGAAGTTGAGTTGCAGATAACTTGGACGACGGGTTGTGGAGCGTACACCGACAATGTGTAGTTGTCGTACGTCTCAAAAAGTTCTCTGAACTTATGCCGTATGAACTCAGTCGGCGCAGTCGCGTTGCTGATTACCGCTGGCGATATACTGTTGTCATCATATCGTGTTCTCACAGGCCGTAGATGCCCGTGCTCCCATGGCCTAGAGGCTAGGTTTTCGTACTCAGAAACTACCTCAACCGCGCTTTCGTTCTCGATCCATGAATATTTTCGCCGATCATACTGGATCATTGAAGGGCGAATCGATTTCCAATCACTGCGTGAGAGTCAGTGAGAGCATGTAGAACGAGCTAGAACTCACAAGTGAAGACCATTCGCTCTGCTTATAGAAGAGGGGAGAAATTGCTCGTACGAAGCATTCGAGTACAAAGTGAAACTCCCGCCATCACGAGGACTACCCGAGCGAGGTATCATAAGGACTGCGGTCGAAGGTCCGACCAGAGCGGTACTGATAAGTAAGGTCGGTATTGCTGTAACAAACAGGACTTTGCGCCAACTGCACAGAGTCGGAGATACGAAGATAGAAATAAAGTCCAAGGACCAGATGTACGACAGCTGCGTTGCCTGCGCAATGCCGGATAATGCCCCTAGAGGTACAAAGTTACGCAAAGCTTCGGTGCGGATGATACAGGCTGTTATTTCCACAATCGAGAATTGCATAAGCAATTCATGGAATTTAGCGAAGAATTGTAGGATAGTCGGATCAAATGGCGAAGTGAAGCTAAGAAAGAAGCTCGACCATTGTAGGTAGAGGAGCGCTATAGCTCCACCGAGCGGGATGAGATGTAGTAGCACGTGTAGTATCGCCAATCTTCGGCTTTGGTATATTGCGACTTTACGACGCTCTGCGGAAGTCCTCTTCAAGGCAAAGGGTCGGCATATCCTGATGGGGAGGATTTGTAACCGTAGCTGACGTATCCAGTTTCTTATCTTCAAGCCGCGCTGTCTGGGAGGCGTTGTTCCTTCGTCTTCTAGACGGTCCAAGAGCGCAATGTTCATGTCTTGCCGCCTAAAAAGGTCACTATCCGCTCAAATATCTAGTGAGCACACATACGGTAGCTCTGTCATCTCTTCTTCGGGCTCAGCCGTGCGACTCATGGTTGATGGTGACTTCGATAGCACGAAGCTTAAGCAAGGAGAGATCAGGAAACTAGTTATTTATCTGAACCTTGCGAAAGCGCCTGAGCCGGGTAGCGAGATGTATCGAGGGATTAAGTGAGGTTGAAGATCTCTTGAAATGCGTTTTTGTACGGCAGCCAAGCGTTAGACGACACCAACCAACTAAGCTGAAACGGGCTCGCATTGGGGGCCAACGCCACGAACAGGAATGCGGTAGGAGAGGTGAGCATTACGAGATGATAGCCTCGGCTAATGGTGTCGAGGAGCTCCACACACCAAATCAACCGATCTGACCGCAGTCCTTCACACAGCATGCTTCGTCATCAAACGCAAAGTACCCATTGCCCCCGCTTCCTTGTCTGGGATCTCATCGTTCCCGAATATATGACAGTCACGGCCCGAAATTAAAGCCTCGTATGTCGCAACCAGCAGAGCATTTGATGATGTGATGTTTGTATCGAGACTCAGTAGAGTGTTTTAGGTAGCGTTATTTGTAGAATATAGTATGGACGATAGTTAACGTTCGAGTGTGACATCTACCCCTCAAGGGAGGCATATGTCAAGTGTAGTCATCGCTTTAATAGAAAGAAATATCGATGAAATTTATCGAGGAATAGATTTCTCACAAAAGGATGTAGTCGATGTGGTAATGAACAATGTATAGCGATAATAGTCTTGTGATATACCACGACATCAAAGCGAATGAACAGAGGCAGTACGGGCAGCAAACAGCCTTGTAGGCAAATGCAGTCTATACTTCCCTAGTAATCGGGTTAGTGTCCAAATAAGAAGCCGGTCGCTCGGCTACCCTTGGAGATGCTGAGTTTCAATGATAAAGCCGTTTCCCTATTACGTGCCTGTTGATCGCACTGTAGCTTTGCCGACGCATATTTGACTGGTGAGGTACTGCTACCCATAAGAGCACGCAAATACTGTTGCCGAGGCCTCAAACTTCCTCTTTCTGCACCAAGATTGGCCAATCGTCGAAAGTCATGGCTTACCGCGGCCTCAAACAGCTCCTCCGTTGCATCGGCTAACAAGACCCACGGCGGTTTCTTTTCAGAGAAACCACATACTACTACAAACTCGCCTGGGTAGTTGACTAGCCCCACAACGTGGAATCGAAGAAATGCGGTCAAGTTTCGCAAGTCCCGAGTAAGAAAGCAGTTATTCTGAGCATCCCAAAGGTCTTTGGGCTCGACTTCAATCAGCTTGGGTACGACATGGTGTCCGGACTGGACGCCTGTGATTCCGAAATAGATTGCACCGAGATTGCTGCCATTTTCGTTCGGATGCTTCGCATGGACTGCGGTGTTTACCGCTCTTCGCACACGTTTGGATATGAAAATTGTATTACTGCTTGAGACGGGCGTCGAATCGGTCAGTAGCGCGAACGACTGGGGCCTTGTTCGGACATACACGCTTGCGCCTTCATGCTTGAGAAACACTCCGGTTTGCGGCACACTCGCATCCGTGGGTATCTCAGTATAGCAGTGTAGCGGCATTATGACCTCTCCAGGAAACTTGTCTCCAGCAAGCTTCAAGAAGGTATTGATGCGCAGTCCCTTGTTAGACATGGCAAAGTCTGGGTTGAATTTGATGTCCTGTTCGAGTTGAAGATCACGCAGTCCAGCAAACTCATCCGGACTGCGGGCGAGAATTCCACGGCGCGTTGAAGAATCCTTTGCTCGCCATGCGAATAGGCTGAGATCATTCCTGTCGCGCATGATTTCCTCTTGGAGTCGAATAAACGCTTGTTCTCCACCCTCGCCGTAGAGCATTGGCATGTTGACCTGAAACAGACCAATCAGACAGTATGCCATATCCTCAGGCCTGGTCGTTTGACGAGATGCTGCCCATGACATGCGACGGCCGACGGGAATAGCATCAAGCAGGTCACGAGTACTCATGGCATCCGGGCCCTCAGGTGGGGTGAAAACCTCTACATCAATGTTCGTAATATATGCGAGTATGTCGCGTAGAGATTCTCGCGTACCGAATTGGCACCACGCACGATCGTAGAAATGCGCGGCTCGCGCAGCGATAATCTCCTGCATTGTCCATCCACGTGAGAACCAGCGAGCACTATGCAGCACAGTGTCGAGCTCGCTATCGGTAGCGTTGGCATCGAAGTCAGCAAGATAGACGAGGCAGAGGTCGGCCTCGCTGTACCATTGAAACATGGAGTTGATCGACTCGCTCAGTTCGGCATTGTTGGTTTTGTCGATGCAGCATGAATCTATCCAGACGTAGTCAAACCCGCATCGCTGGGCTTCACGGCATGTGCGCTCGATCTTTGTCCAGCCCTTAGCCGCAGTGCGTGTAGCGATGTCGTTGAAAGCCTGGAAGTTGACCTCTTCGCTGTCCCAGGTATGCGAGAGGATAGCAAAGGGAATTGGCGGGCGTCCGATGAACTCCTGCATCCGCAGCGAGCCGCCGCGACAGTCGATTAATCTCATTTTTATGGGCAAGGATAGTGTTGTATCGCCAGAGGCTCCGGAAGTGTAAACTGTTGGTGGAGCTCGTTATTCCCAAGGTTGCGCACTATCCATGTCAGCATCATCACGTGCCAGCGCTGTCGGTGTTAGGCGCAATCACTGGCAGCACGGCTCGCTACAAAGCTTCGTGGACGGCAGCGCGCAGCTGCTTAATCGCGCCCGTTACCGTTAACAACACTAGCGGCACCTCATTGTGGACGGGTGGCATAGAGTATAGGTTTCTGATGAGAAGTACCTATCATTAGGTCATATATTCGGCTTACTGCAGTGACATGGATGTGGTTCAAGATGAATAAGTAGACATTTCGCAAGAAGTAATGAGCGCGGCTCAGGTGTACGAAGAAACTCGCTCCTTCCCAACGCTTGGACTACACCCGATCTAGACTAACGCTGATTTCAATGCAGCTGGAATATACAGCTGCATACAGTGAAGCTAAGTGAGCGTCTGGGAACACACTTCTACTGCGATACAATACAGTGTAACTTAACAGCGTTGTGCCTGCGTCTTATTACCAGCACGTCAATCAAATCAATAAATTAAACTCAGATTGCCAGCTTCCTTTATGAGTGAACTCTGTTCTTAGTAGAGCGTATAGTCTAACTCTAGAGAGATCCAGGGAGTTGTACGATCTTGCCTTTACTTCAGCTACCTTGGGCAGAATTCGCCAGATGTGGAGGCTGGGCTCTACAATTATGAAAGCCAAGCGGGCTAACGCGCTTCCGTCCGGTCGCCATGGGGCACAAGATTTACCATCGTGTCTGGAGTGTTGGCTTGTCGGAAACCGGATTTAAGCGAGTCTAAGACCAAGATGTGCCGAGGCTCCGACTAGGCACCTTCCCCTCGGCACGCAATCATCTACAAAAGCGTATGATGCGGATCTTGAAGCGAGAATTGCCAAGAACTGCACTGATTTTCGTAACTGACAGATCCGCCTACTTGGATCTTTCGGATGCGATACTGATATTGCCAAGGGTTGGCAGCTGAACCTCCAATTTCTAGAACGGGAAAGGTTTGGAGCCGCGTCGAGTCTCTAAAGGAAAGGAAACACGAAAGCGGCAGGCATCAGGTGTCGTACTGGGGCTGAGCTCTTCTTTCGCGAAAAGCGGACCCGGTGCCAAGTCTACACTCCTTAGTGAAATAGTCAAGGCAAGACCGGGATAGGCGACACGTGGGTCCAGTGACAAACAAATCGTAAAGCTAAAGATTGGGCTGTACGAGAAGGACTCCTCAGATGCGCTGAGTATAACTGCAGGCCTCCCTCTTTATCCCACAACGCTTCGCGAAGTTTCGAGCCATGGAGAACACCAAGTACACACCCGTCCACTCTACCGAGACTAATGATCCATCAGAGCAAAAGAGAAAGAGCTTGCTGCCCCGAAATGAAAAATGGCAACTGGGCATCTTCTACGCAGCCCTCGCGACTTCAATTGTCTGCTTTTTAAATCTCATCATCACTATATGGGCGCTTGTGACTCACGGGATGACGTACGGGAGTGCTGTGCTGTACGAAGGCTCCTGCGAGACGACCAAGAATTTGAACATCGGCGTCCATCTTATCATCAACATCTTCAGTTCTGCCATACTGAGCGGCAGTAACTACACTATGCAATGTTTGTCCTCGCCTACCAGATCGGAGGTGGATGATGCGCATGCGCGAGGGACATGGCTGGATATCGGAGTGCCTAGCATTCGCAACCTGCGCAGCATTGCGAAGCGGAGGTTGTGGATTTGGCTACTGCTGGGCGTATCATCAATACCGCTACATCTCTTGTAGGTCGGACCCAGTGATCATCACGATATGCCGACCATGCACTCACGCAAAACCTGAATTGCAGCTACAATTCTGTTGTCTTTACAACGCTCTCAGGAAACTCTTATTTTATTTACATCACGAACGAGGCGTGGCTTTCGTCGTCCAATAATCTTACCGTTCCCGACTCGGGGGAGTACGGCCCATTTCCGAGTGAGCTTGTGGACAAACAGCTCTGGAACGCAAATCAAGCTGGTTCGCTCCAGCGCCTTGAACCTAGTTCATGCATCGATGCGTACGCTCGCTCCTTCATATCCGCTCAAGGTAATCTCCTCGTGATTACCTCTAATTCTACCAGCTCCTCCGAAGCAGGGGAAATTTTCGACTTCGCATCTGGAGGCGAAATTACCATCACTGGAGGCCAGGACGCCACAAACCTCGACCCGTACTCCTGGATATGCGGCGACAGCCTGAAGTGTCTCAAATACTACACATCTAGTACGTTGGGACACAGGTGTGAGGAGTACGAATTCTGCGATGTCGATGCTCTGGGGATTCGCAACAACCCTCAGAACTGGACATTGAATCAGCGGAAAGTCGATTACTGCTTAAGCACAAAGACGGAAGAACACTGCAAACTGCGCCTCAACGCTGCGATCGCGGCCCTGGTCATCTTCACAAATTTTTGCAAAGCTTTGCTAATCATTACCACATACTTTTCGACAAGAGAGCACCTCCTCCTCGGCATCGGCGATGCCATAGTCAGCTTCCTGTCTCACCCTGACCCAGTCACCGAAGGCTCATCCCTCTTATCTAAGGATGATGTAACGCCTCATCAAAAGTTCTCCAGTTCTTCGTTCGGGCCGCGCCCCTTCCACTTATCGCGCAAGCGCTGGCTCGCCGCTGTCTCGCGGCGCCGCACAATCACCATCTTCACAACCGCCGCTCTAAGTCTAATCATCTGCTCCGCGCTGCTCATCTACGCCTCCTTTAACATGAAAGGCGCAAAACCATCCGACATATGGACCCTCGGCTTCGGTCAGCCAAGCGAAAACACCCTCATAACCTTCGCAGGCATCCGGCGCCGTATGATCCGCACCGCCGGACTCCTCTCCAATGTCCTGATTGCAAACACTCCCCAATTAGTTTTGTCCTTTATATACTTCTCCTGCAATGCTCATCTTACTTCCATGCTCGCTGCACGCGAATGGTCGTCCTTTGCCAAGACTAGGAAGGGCCTGCGCGTGCACACGCATCCGCGCGGCGCTCAGCGCGCAACGTACTTCCTGCAACTGCCCTGGCGGTACAGTGCGCCTATGATCTTGGCAGGTGCTCTGCTACACTGGCTCGCATCGCAGAGCATCTTTGTTGTTAGCGTCGAGTGGTGGGCAAATGTGAGTCGGACTGTAGCTGAGAGTACGGAGATGCAGGTGGGGGAATGGGGAAGGGATGATTGGCATGATTTCGCTACGTGCGGATACTCGCCACTAGCGCTGTTCATCTTTATCATTTTTGCTGCAGTTTTTTTGGTAGTGATGGTGGGGGTTGGGCGGAGGTGGTTGGAGGAAGGGATCCCTGTTGTGGGAAGTTGTAGTTTGGGGATCGCGGCCGCCTGCCATGTGGATACAGGTGAAGAGAGGCTCTTTGGTGAGGGGCGATTGAAATGGGGTTCGGTTGAGCGGCTCGAAGAGGATGGGAGTGTGGTGAAGAGATGTGGGTTCTCGATTGGGGAGGTTGGGTGGCCCGTGGAAGGGGAGGTGTATGGTTAGGTGGCATGTGAATGTGACTGGAGTAGAATATATTTACAAAGTTGCAAACAAACGCTGGCTTTCTATAGCGTGCTGTAGGTCTTTTATCCACTATGAACTCATTTATGAGGCTTTCACAGGTCACAATCGACATTGAAGTCTACCTCGCCCGAGGCAGTGCTCTATCTATCGAGTAGATCGTGGTGCTTTTGATCCGCAGTCAGACAACAGCATTATAGGTGGGCCAGTGGCGTGAGGTGAATAGGCGGAAGACCCTAAAAGTATTAGGGAGACAATCATGCAAGGACTCTATGGGCAGCCGGCGTTATTGTATGCGATGAGCAGACCTGGAAGTTGCGCCTCTTGACTGAGGGCCGCTCGGGAGATTGGACTAGACACGCTTCGTCTAGGGTTCTCACGATGTCTCGGGAATGGCCGGCTTCGTCGAACGCAAAGTCGCAGCTTGTCCGGCATGCATGAATCTCCGCCACCTGGTTCTACCATCAAATCCAGCCACCTTTTCACCGTCTAATACTAGCTCTTCTTTGAATCCATATCTCCATATGACGTCTATGCATAAAGTTGCCCCATTCCTATAGGAATCCTAAGCTGGTCACAAGGTCATAGCAGCGCCGTGTTTGAGAGTCTAATACAGTCGTTCCACTTACTGTCAGCACTCCATTAACACAGATACCACGTCTTATATCCTCTCTTGCGAACTCAAAATCGTGGCATGCTGCAATACTACGCCTCTCCAGTGGCTCAAGCTCGTCTTTGGGCGCACTGAATGTTGGCTCCTGTCTCAGCAGGTTGAGTCGTTCAACGCTCTAGAGTCTATACCCGCTTAAATATGCTATAATCCAACACATGCTCAATTCCAGGCCAACCGAATCCAGTCTCATCGTGTGGATCCCGGACAAGGTGATAGGCTCAGCGGTGAGGGTACGGAAATTTCACTCTGCTTACGCTGTTACTCAGCTCGTCGCTGGAGATGAATGCTAGTTTTTGCCACCCAGATATAGCTCGAATGCACTAAACTCCCAAAGCCATTAACACGCTCGTGCATTACAAAGTTTGAACAGTGAATTGCAACACCCAAATAGATGCAATATCAACATCCAGCTATACCGCTGTCGCATTCTTGAATTCTACGGAAGGACCTTTACATGATCTATAGCTTGGGAAACCTTACCCTCAAAAACTGATTCGGCCACGCAACATCCAGACCCAACTGCCACGCAACCCTCAACACCCACTCGGGCTCGCGCATAAACTGCCTAGCAACTAGTACAACATCGGCCAACGGCTCTTTACCCCCAGTAACCTTGACCGCAGCCCTAGCCTCCTTTGCAAGTTCTGTATCGCTGATCTGGGAGACCGCCGCATCCGCCGCACCACCTTCTTCGACGATATCTCTCGCCTGTTCCGCTTCAGTAATGAGACCTACGGCACCGATGTAGAGACCAAGATTCTCCTTTTTAAGCTCAGCGCGTATCTGCGCGGCGATTTTGATCTGGTAGTCTTTTGAATCAAACATGTTGATTCTCTGCTCCGGGTGATTGCCCCCACTGCTCACATCGAGGAGATCCACACCCAGGCCTGGCAGCAGTTTGGCGAGGCGGATTGAGCTTTCGACGTCCCAGGAGCCGAGCTTCTTGCCCTTTTCTGTTTCCTCCATCCAGTCGGTAGAGCTGATGCGGAGGTATACGGGCATACTGTCCGGGACGACGGCACGGATCGCTTTGATGATTTCAACAAGGATGCGCGTGCGGTTCTCAAAGGAACCACCGTACTTATCCGTTCGTTGGTTTGTGACGGGCGAGAGGAATTGGTGGATTAGGTAGCCATGCGCACCGTGTATCTCAATCACATCAATGCCGGCTTTGACTGCTCGTTGCGCTGCGGCGGCCCAGTCTTGGACCAATTCGCCAATTTCCTCTTCGCTCAAGGCTCGAGGCGCCCAATATCCGCTGCTCTCGTCGTCTGCTGCCTTCTCATCCCAAGCCCATTCTTGGCCGCCCATGGGACCAACGACGTTGGATGGCCAGCCACCTGCATCGACGTCGGCTTTTACGCTGACTTTCCTCGTCCCACCAGCTGTTTTCTGTGCGCCAGCGATCCAGGGCGCGCACGTACTGGCTTTTCTTCCTGCGTGAGCTAGTTGGATGCCACTCTGGGCTCCTTGGCTTTTGATAAAGTCCGACACTCTTCGTAGTGCGGGGATCTGGGAGTCGCTCCATAGACCGGGGCAGTTTGGCGATATACGGCCGTTGGCTTGCACACCGGTTGCTTCTATGAAGACTAGACCCGCGCCTTTGAGGGCGTAGTGGCCGAGCGTTGCGATATGATAATCAGTCAACGCGCCTGTGGTCGGCCCCTCAGATGCGGTGCTGTACTGGCACATGGGTGCTACTAAGATACGGTTGCGCAGTGTGGTGCCGCGGATCGTGAGGGATGTGAACAGTGTCGGCGTTGACCCATTTTGCTGGGCATTGGGAGCTGGTGTTCCTGGACTAGTGATGTGTTTTGGGGTAAAGTAGGGCAGGCCTGGGACGCCGTTGTTGTAGTCTTGTGGTGCCATGTTGGGTGTTGAGCCTTGAGAATCGGTCCGACGATTGATGTGCAAAGGTTTATGGTAGAAACAGAAGGCAATGCTAGAGGAAATACCGAAGCTACTTGTGCTAGAGCACGCAATGTCGTTGATTTGTAAGTAACAACGAGTTTAGATAGTTACCGAGGTACGTGGACACGCGCCTGAATCAGCAGGTGGTCCTACAAAAGGATGTCGATCTTCAAAATCGCCCATGTGTACAATGCTTCGTACAAGCATACTCAAGCACCCGGATGTCTCAGGCCTTGCCACTTGCGTGAGCGGAACTGCGACGTTTTTCATTCCGAGCGCATGTAGCCGCCCTCGGGAATAAAGGGAAGTAGGCAATGACGCCATCGTTGACAGCCGTGCGATTTGAGTGGAAACGCTCATATTTTGAACGAGACTGTAACCAGAGCTGTCGCAAAAGAAGGGTCCAGTGCTTACGTCCACGCGTGAGCTCGAGCGCGTCGCCATGTGACGTGCTCTTGATGACGTCAACGTAACCGCTCTCTCATATAGTATCCAGACGTCTACCTACTGCAGTTTATCGACCATCTACACGTCCTTTGAACTATCTTCTTGACAAGTCAGACCTACTCATAACCCTCTTCCCACACAATCACTATCATCACACCACACACCAACATGTCTGCACCACCTGCACCGAACAACCCTGGCCTTGTCTCTTCCCACGCCCAATACGTCAAGGGCGCTGCTGAGGTATGACACGATGATGCCTTGTCCTGCAGATGCTTTATCGCAGTGCTGTATACTGACTTTGTCAATAGGAGACCATCGGAAACGTTACCGGTGCTGAGGCATGGAAGGCATCGGGCGCGCAAGACAAGTCGCAAGCCGTCGACGCAATGAAGGCGGCATCAGCGAACCGTGATCCCAACCAACAAGGCATGGGAGGCATCGAGGAGAAGGCAGGAAACCTCGTCGGCTGCGAAGGCATGCAGAAGGAGGGTGCTGAGAGTAAGAAGCAATAGACGGCAGCCATACACGTTGCAATGAGATAGTTTAATGAGAAACCAAGTCCCAAACAAGGACAAATGTGCGCATATCCATGTATTTGTGTCTCTACATGGCGATTCAAGATATGCTGGTACGTCATTGCTTGTCGCATTGTGAAGGACCCTGAGCTCCGGTTGGTGAATTGGTGAAGCATGGTCCGTGTGACATGAGCTTGAGCTTCTTGAATTGAGCGCCAACCCATACACGACACAACACGGCTGTCGCATTGCTACCAAACGGACCATGGCGCCCCCGATACGTGCGCGCTCAATCAAGTCAGACGCTTTCCACGAACACTTCAGGAAGCTCAAAACATCAGTCTACCAAGACAGTCCCCGCCCAAACGCCGTATCCACCTCGCACTACATCCGCTCAATATCCTGGAATGCGTCTGGTACATTTATTGCAACGGGTGCCGCGGACAGGACACTGCGCATCTGGAACCCTGAAAAGACCAATTCCAAGAACTCGACTGAGTTGCGCACGCCCAACACGACGGCCTCGCTAGAGCGCGTTTCCTTTCACCCAATCAACGAGAACGAGCTGGCAAGCGCTACTTCAGATGGCATGGTCAGGTTCTGGGACATACGGTCCAAAGCTAGCGTGGGTGAAGTCAAGGTTGGCGAGTGCCCGTTTACGCTGGCGTGGACACCAGATGGCAACGGACTGGTCGCAGGAAGAAAGGTGTGATCGCATGACGCAAAACTCGTGGATACCGCACGTCCTAACATTTCTCTTAGGATAATCTCCTCACCACCATCGATCGATCGACGCTCAGCGTCGTCTCGGAGCACCAACAAGTCTACCAAACCAACCAATGCGTCTTCGACTGGTCAGGCAACCACCTCTACTCGACAGTCGGCGACGGCAGTGTGCGACTCCTGAAATACCCGTCGTTTGAGAATACGCTCACACTCAATGCTCACACCTCGGCATGCTACGCCGTATCACTATCACCCAGCGGCGAGTATCTGGCGGCTGGTGGCGGTGACGCGCTCATCTCGCTCTGGGATACACAGGAATGGATATGCACACGCACGCTGGAATTGACGGGCGGTATCATCAAGTCGGTCGACTTCTCCTTCGACGGCAGCTACGTCACTGCTGGCTCCGACGACAAAGAGGAGAAGAAGATTCGTATTGCGCACGTTCATACTGGCGAGATTGTACACACGATTGATGTTCCAACACCGGCATTACATGTCGCCTGGCATCCATGCCGGTACATACTGGCGTATTCGGCGGAAAACCTGGGATTGAAGATTGTCGGGGGCATCAGCTAGTTTTGTCGTAGGAGCAGGATAGAACGAGAGTGGCGTTGCATTAGGTCTGCAGGTTCGTATATGATACCCACCATAATTGGAAAGTTCACGCACAGTATATCCCTCGGAACCATCATTACAAAGCGGGCTTGTTTCCCGTCTTCTGTGACGCAATCGTATCGAAATATGTCGGAGTAAACCGAGTCCGACGTTATACTCCGTATAGAGGTAACTTTCTTTCGAGATACCTTCGGATTACCACTACACCATCTACGACTCTATCATCATGGATGTAACAACGCCAATCAGGCCAGCCGATCTCTTCTCAGCGAAAGGACTAGTAGTAATCATAACAGGCGGAGGCAGCGGTACGTCCCTCGAGCTTCGAGCTACCCCACCAAGCCCCGCGCCCTCACGTCCCGACATGTGCGTGCTCGAAGCATACGGTCAACAGCAAGCTCACTACATCAGGTCTCGGTCTCGCCATCGCATCCGCCCTACACCAGAATGGCGCTGAACGCGTATACCTCCTCGGCCGGCGCGCCGACGTGCTCGACAACGCCGCCAACAACCTCCAATCCAATACACCGCGCACCTCGCAAAGCAGCAGCGGCTCCGTCCATGGCATCCCCTGCGACGTAACAGACCTGACCTCTGTCCGGGCCGCCGCCGAAACCATAAAGAAGGACATTGGCTATGTCGACGTCCTGATCAACAACGCGGGTGTCATCGGACCCAAAAACGGCGCCGACATCTACAAAGCAGAGTCGATCCAACAACTCGCCGACACCATGGTCGCCGGCTACGACGACTGGTCCCAAGCCATGGCTATCAACACGCAATCCGTCATCGGCGTCAGCGCTACCTTCCTCCCTCTCCTCGAAGCAGCAAACACACGCCGCGGATGGGCTCCGGGCAAAGTAACAGGCACAGGCAATGCGCGGGCGCGCGATACTTCCGCCGCGGAGGCCAACGGCATCGATACCGACGACGACCGCATGGCGCACATCATCACCGTCGCGTCAGTCGCGTCGTATATGCGCTGGATATCCGCGGGTCTGGCGTACAATGCTAGTAAAGCGGCGGCTGCACACTTGGGCAAGATGATGGCAACGTTCTTGTCCGAGTGGGGTGTCAGGAGTAATATCGTTTGTCCAGGGCCTTATCCGAGTGAGATGACGGCTGGTATACACCCGGTTTATGGCACGAATCAGATTCCGCAGGGGAGGATGGGCGGGATTGGTGATATTAGCGGATTGATGCTTTTCTTGGTTGGTAAAGGTGGGGCCTATGTCAATGGGACTACGCAGCTTACTGATGGTGGGAGGGTGGGCGTGTTTCCTGCTGTGTATTAGGTTGGGTGTTGTTTGGGACGTTTGGGTTTGAGGTTCCCCCTGGGATTTGTATAGATGGTCATGGTGGAAACTTCACTCAGATACATGGCGTCTTCTGAGTGTCTTGTATCAGCATCCTGGAACATGTTCGACTCGGCTTTTACCTGTTCCAGATGAATTTATAGATGATCCGTCACTTCTTGTGCAATATCACAAATGTACTCACAGATTTAGATTGAATAGGAAAATGCCGCTCACACACACACCTACTCCATTACATTCGCTATGAATCCCTGACACTACTCGCAGGAATCACAAGAGGTAAACGTATAACTTTTTTTTTCCCATCATTCACGAACCGTCAGGTATCTATGCTTGAACTAAAACATCCAACCCCACACCCTTCATAATATCGTAATCCACTAACAACGATTCATCCCACACGTCCAGAGCTCACACTCTGATCCACCATCGAAACCGAAACCGAAAACCTACGACCGACCCAGCACACCCCTCACACTCCCCTTAATCACCTGGCTCCCCCTAACACTAACCTCGCCAATCCCCGTATCGCCTCCAGACCCTCCGTTCAGCCAGCGCTGGAGTAACGCATTACTCTCCATGGGCTTGATGCTTTGATCCGCCGTCCCAACCGTAACATGCGCCATGGGGTTCACCGTCTCAAACAGCAATTCCTCAGTCGTCGCAGTACCCGCCGCGCCATCATCTACCTGTAGCGTACCAGATCCGTTCAACCTGACAACAAAACACATGATGCGATCGTCCCACACGACTCGCTCAAGCAAGACGTCACATGTACCCAGCTCCGGCTCCCAGGCGCCACTCGAGTTTGTCTTCTGGCAGGCGTCGTGCAGTTTGCCGAGTTTGTCCCAGTACTCTTGGTTTTGGGGCGCAGATGCGCGGTGGATGAGAGTGACGTGGAACTCATTCTGCACACGCCGGGTTTGCTTGAGTTGCTTGTACATGCGTGCAGTGTTTGCGTCTTTGTCGTTGAACAGGGAATCGAGGATGGAGTTTATGCGAGCCGTGTCGAGGCGGACGGAGAAGTATTCCATGCGTGGTGCTTTCTTTGGCTTTGCAGGCTGAGCTTGCTGGTTGTTGGCTCCGCGTTGTTGGCTATTTTGCTGGTTTTGGTTGTTGCCCCTCTTATCGTTCTTGTTGTTTGAGAGGTCCATCTTGAAGTCAGGTGTGTAGTCGTTCATGGCCCATTGGATGGCAGCGTCCATATCGGGATCAGTTGGCATGTCTTTGCCCGCGAATAGGGCGGGATACGTCTCGAACATCTTGCCAATGATCGTCTCGAGATTCTCGCGCGAGTCGACAGTCGGGTCCAGGTCGATGACGAGATCGAACAGATCGTCTGGCTTGCCTGAAGGGTCGACTGGCTGGAAGCGATACATGAAGCCCTCCATGATCTGGACAATCTCATCCCTGCCTTTCGAGCCTGCTTGAATAGTCTGGTGATTGTCTCCGCGATCGAGCACACGCGTCTGTGTTGCCTGTCGAATGCGGTCGTAGTTGGATCGATCGTGAACGTAGTGCAGTGCGACGAACCGGGCGTCAGGCACGTTTTTCGAGATATCATTGATAATCTGATCCCGCTCGCGCTTCTGATGGTTGTTGCGATCGGCAATGACGACGGGATTTGTGACCAGCAAAGAAGAGATGGTGTCTGCGAAGATTTGACCACGTCCCTTTTTAGCCTTGACGTTGTCGTTCTGGAAATGACCCCAACCAAACAGCTTCACCAGAGCGAGAGCTAGAGTCGTCTTTCCGCATCCAATCGTCGCAATGGGAACGAGCACAATATTTCGGTCCGCTTTCTTGCTCTCGACGGGCCCGTTCTGCATTTCCTGCCTGATGATGTCTGCACCAGTCGTCCCGCAGAATTTGAGGAAGTCGTCGCGCATCTTAATGATGCCATGATTCGCGTTGTACTGCTTTGCCAGGTCCTTGTTCTGGGCAAACTGCCGTCGGGCAAAGTCCAGATACTCCTTGGTGATGGCCTCGTGCTTCTTGTAGCGTGGTGGCTTGCCAGCGATCAGAGCCCTGGTGCACTCACGCCACTGGCGGTACATGAGGTACGGCTCTTCGAACTTGTACTTGAAGAACCAATCTACATATGGCGCACCCTCAGACTCGCGTGCCTGGCAGCGGATGACGAAACCCTCTGTGTCGCGGCCTTCGTAGTTGCCCGTTTCTGCGACCTTCTCCAAGAACTTCTTGACCTCTTTGATGTCGTTCTCCATTACGTATGTGACCTTCTTCATACCCCACTCGTCCGCGAACTTGTCGACGAGATGGCCGGGATACGTTGCGAACTCGGGCAGGTTTAGGTTGATACCGTGGATGTAGAGACCAGCCTGGTCTTTGGTGTATGCTAGGACGTGCTCCTCAAAATCGTCGTCGCATAGTTCAGCCACGAGCGTCGCGTTCATGGATCGAAGCGTCCGGGCGAGATCCTCCTTCTTCCTGCCAACACTCGTGACATGGCGCTCCACCCACTGCTCACCTACCTGGGCATGGCTGAGCTCGTCGCCTCGTGGACCAGTCGAGTGCTTACTGCACACCAGTAGCGTGTCATCATCTAGACCAGACACGAAGATGATGCAGCCATTCTCCTTGACACTCAGCTCGTATGGACCCTGAGTATGTTGCTCCACATTTTTCCACTCAGTCTTCCTAATCTCACCGTGGTTGAAGAACTTGTCGTACCCCCTTGTGACAATCTCGTAGTTGCCTTCCCGGTTCTTGTATGTAAACAGTCCTCGGGCGTATGTCGGAAGGTTCGCTTTCTTGTAGTCCCAATCGTTCATCTTCCATGAGTCGACGGTCCGGCCATTGGGTAGCGAGAACGTGTGTTTCTTGACCGAGAAGCCGCCATTGCCCTTCTTGCCCTGGTGCGCTTCGAGAGCATGAACCAGGTTGGTAATCTCTTTGGGATCTTGGGGCGCATACGGTGCTTGATCGCGGTGCGCCATGATCGCGGTCGTTCGAAAGGTGCGTCGAGAAGTAGGTGAGGCGCGAGCAAGGTTTCTCAGTGGACTGGATATCTGGAGGAAGGCTACGGGTAAGCGAAAAGTGGTGTGTGGTGGAATGCCAATGTGTGCAAGCGGGGACAATGTTTTAAGAGCGATCATTCGGTCGGTCAGGCAGCAAACAGAAAGGCAAGACAAAGTGCGCAGTAGCGGTGAGTCAACATTGGATGAGCACAAGGGCGTTCCTTACCAGGCTCAAGTTGCAAGAACAAACATGGAAAGGGCGCAGGCAAAGGCGCAGTCGCGTTGAAGTCAATTGGGAGTCATTTCTAGAAATGTTTGGCCCGTTCGCGATGAGATCACTTGTGGCTGTGGCAGGGGCTTACTTCCGCGGCGCGGGGTCGGAACTAAGCCCGTTTGAGAGGTATCTCTTTCCATTGCATCGCCATCTTGAAATCTGCATCAGCAGATCATGCATGATATTTGGCATTCATTGTACATTGCGAAGATAGTTCCAAGATTCTACAAAAGTTACTGCGCAGCATTCTTGACCTTACACAACTTCATCACAGCTTCTTCACGCCCTGCGCCAAAATCTTCTCAACCTCATCTTTGTGCTTCGAGAAGTTGTCTACCAGATCATCCCACATCTTTGGGTCATGCTCGTGCTTCTTCTTGCTATTCCAAGCCCAGTCGGTAATGGTGAACATCCTGGAGCTCTCCATCATGAACGCAATAGCACCCTTGGAGATCTGCATCTCGGGAGGCGGTGCTGCGCTAGCTGCTTTGAACTCTTCGTAGGCAACGCCATGGGGTACGAAACCGCACTCGAAGCTGATGCCTCCAGGTTGGAACTCATCGGAGCGGCCTGCATATTCGCCGTAGATCAGACCCATGAGCTCAGACGCTCCATTACGGTGGTAGTATGGCGGTCGGTAGGCTACAATCCAGTCAGCATCTTTAGCACACCCAGAATCTTGATGACTTACTATGCGACGCCACATCCCAACGCGGGCTGAAAATGAGGAAATCCGCAAGCGGTGCTGCTGGATCGCGCGAAGGTGCGGTAATAACGCAGAAGATTGAAGGATCAATATGATCAACCGAGATCGAGCCCACGTTGACAAACTTGGTCAGATCGTACTTGTATGGTACATAGTTTCCATGCCACGCAACGACGTCGAAGGGCGAATGTTCTTGCTTGCTGACGAAGAATTTGCCGGCTAGCTTGTACACAATCTCCCAAGATTCTTGTTCAATCTCATACTTTGCAATTGGGTGCAAAAAGTCTCGAGCGTTGGCAAGTCCGTTTGCGCCGAGGGGACCGAGCTCAGGAAGCTGGAACTGTGAGCCCCAGATCTCTGCTCTAATTAGCTTCTCGTCTGCTCGTATAAGACTGGCTTTACCACTCACCCAAAATGTAGCCGCGTGTTGGTCCCTCGACCTTGACTCTGAATCGCTGTCCTCTCTGGATAACACAAATCTCGCCTGGCTGCACGTACATTGGTCCAAACTCAGTCAGGATATCCAGTGCTCCTTGTTGAGGTACGATCAAGAAGTCACCATCGGAGTTTACCATTGCCCTCCTGTTCATGCTTGCATTGCAAAGATAAGTGTGAACAGCTAAACCCTCGCGAAGCGTAGGATCGCCAGAACCAGCAATGCTCTTGAGACCCGAGGCAAAATCAACGTCGCCATCGGTGGGAGTATCGAACGGAAGCCACGCAAGCTGTGTAGGAGAGACATGAACACGCTTGTTCACCGGGAGGAAGTTTGACTCGGTGTCTTCGTTGTCGGGGAGATCCGTCTAGAGCTTTTGTCAGCAAATAGAACAAGTGACCACCTCGTGGTTTGGCCGCGCTATCCATCTGACCATGCGACCCCAGTTTGGCCCTTGCATGACATGGCCGGAGTTAAGCATCGATGACGTGAGGTGAATCTCGCAGGGCAACAACATCGGTAAAGGGTCATAGCCGATGTCCAAGAAGGGTTTCTTACAAATCCTTGATGCGCAACGGCCGGACGCGCCCTATATAGGTACGCCTAATCGAGGCGTCAGCAACAATATCCATTCTTCTGCGCAGATAGCCAACCTTCTTGTTCAGATGCCTTGGAGCGACGAAAGAAGAACCGGTCATCTGCTCCGCATATAGTCCGAATCTGACACTCCTGGGGTTGTTCTGGCCCTTTGGGATAGTTCCTGGGAGATATCGGTCAATCCCTCGTCGCGACAGTCGGATGTACGCGATCCTCACCTGCCA